AAGGCCCACGTGGCCTATTATTTAAAGGGTACGTCAAATGGATATTTTATCTGGTTTAATCGGATTTAAACTTACTACATTCAGATTGATAGAATGTATTTATAGCCTTCATACCAGCACATGTGACCCCCCTTCTCACCGTCTGCCTTCCTTGCCTCTCTAACATTCAAGGGTGTGTGTGTGTGTGTGTGTGTGTGTGTGTGTAAGTACTGAAATACAACATTTGAATTCCCAACCCTTCCACATTTAGTGCCACAAGAGGCAAACATTCAGAACATGAAATACTCCAACTATATATAGCTTGAGGCTCCAGCTCAAGACCAGCATTTAGGGCAAAGGGAAGGAGGATTGTGGGGTGGGCAGGGGGTTGCAGAGTCTCTAATCCTGCTTTAAGTTTCTTTGCAAGTGTAACAGCTTTGATACAGCACCGCCAAAGCGCCATTAATAGCTGGTGCTTCACCTTCTAAACAAGCAGCTGTGATCGGAGAAAACTCCTGGAAAGGAAAAGCTTGTGAAAAGACAAAATACTGAAAGTTTGCAGTGTGCCGATAGAATAGCCTGAGCCATACACACAGAAAATTCTGTTCTATATTAAAACCAGCATTCACTCAATAGATAGTTGAAAGAGGGAGAGAGAAAGCTGATAGATTTTTGTTTGTGTTTGTACAACCAGGGTTTGGGGGAGCCAGAGAAACCCTGCAGAATAAATGAAAGTCTTGTGTACAGTGCAAGCTTTAAAGAATGCCTCCATTACAGCGAAGCTTGTTTTCCCCCCACCCTGCATTCTCTTTCTCCCTAAAAAATACCATCAGGATGTTGATTTAAACATGGAGAGGGTTGAAAGAAAGAAGGAATCAACTAGAAAAGAAAGAAGCCTGAGTCTGAGGAGTGAAACCCAGGGTCTAATATTAAAAAGAAGCCAGAGGTGTAGGAAGATTGACAATCTTAAAGGGCCTGAAGAGGCCTTTGAAAGCAAGCCCACCAGTAGTTCTGCTTGGACTGCAGCAGCCAGGCTAATTAAGAATAAAAAGTTTGCCTGGGAGCATATAAAACACCCATGGGGATGTAAAAACCTGCGCACACAATGGTTCTCTTGCCACAAAGACATTATACACCCCGTCTCACCGCTCTCGGGTGCTTCTCCTAATTTCCCTCTGGACCTTAAATCCCCCCATTCTCCCTTCCCCTTGACAGACACAGAGATACAGGGGCTGAGGAGGAAGCTGGAGCAAAGCAGCATCTATTTAAAGCAGTTATTTCACAAAACAGAACTAGACTCCAGCTAACAACCCCAGCCCTAAGGGAGGAGAATAAATTCCCTTTTTTAAAAAAAGAAAAGAAAAGCATAATTAAAGTGACCTACAAAGACTTTTAGCTGCAATGGGGAATAGGCTGCACCGAACTCAGCCTTGATGGTGTTTACACATAGGTAAGTTCCAGCTAAATGCTGGTTCAGCTGTTATTGTTTTAACTCTCCCTCTCCCCTGTGGGGATATGTGAGACACGCTTCTTCTGAAGGCTGACTTTATTACGATGAAGTGGTAAGGCAAAACAGGGCTTTGATAAGTCTGGCAAGTTCTTCTTTTTAAAACACACACACACACAAAAACCTCTATAAGCAACATATATATTAAAATAGGAGTTTCTGAGATGCAGATCTCCACACAAAAGCCGGGGCAGAGTGAGCGCACCTGCACACGCGAGCGTTGGCTGAAGCGCCGCTTCTCTTGCGCCGGATAAGTCCCTCACTGGCCGGCCCTAGATGAGGCCGACAGGCAACGACTCTTGCGCTTGTTTGGGACCACGGCGGTGCGCGCCGGCTGCCCGGCCAAGCGCACGTGTGAGCGCGCGCGAGTGCATCCATTTGCAACCGGGGGTGTCAGCTGTAGTGGGATCGTGGAAAAGGGGTAGGGGCTGGGAACACTTCTTTCACAACATAAATAAGAGCCGGGGAGGCAGTGGAGAGAGGAAGGCGATCGAAGCCGCCACCCGAACGACCCCCCACCCCACTTTTTTTTTTTTTTTAGCCCACGGAGCCAGTCAAGGAGTGGCTGGCGGATGGAAGGGGCGCGCTTTCTCTTACCCCCACGGCCCTCGCCGCCTTGCGCAGCGAGCATCCATCTCCACGCCGGCTCCCCAACGTCCCTCGCAACTCCCGAGGGGCTCTCCCAACAGCAACAGCGGCCGTGCATGCGCGTTGCCGCTTTGCAGAGCCTGCTCGCATCCCGCTTCATTTCAAAATCGCGGGAGCTCCATGGCGACTGGGTCGGGCTGCCTTCCCTTCTGGCGATCCGGCCTCCACGAAAGAGCTGGAGGGGAATCGGGCTCCTGAATATACTTCCCCGGCCGCCACCGCCCTCCCTCCCCCAGACAAGAAAGGGAGCGGGGTGTGTGGGTGGGATTCCCCTTCCCCGGGCGCCGTGGGTGCGGGCAGAGCGCGCGCGAGAAGTCGCTGAGGGGTTGTCTAGAAGCATAAACCGGATTGCAACCATATTGGACTTTGGCAATGTGGTTCTAATAACCGTTTAGGAAAGCCCGTCTGGCGGCCGGTCTCCAACAGCAGCAGCAGCGGCGGCACTTCAGGCCCGCGCTTGGCTTGCAACCCCGCTTCTGTGCGGGCACAGCGTCAACAAGTAACCGAAGCGGGAGGGAGGGCGCAACAGCTCGCACCGGCGGCAGCGGCAGCGGGTGCTTCGCCCGAGGGGAATGGGCGACTCAAAGCGGGAGGAGGAGGGCAATATTGAGCAGCCCAACGAAATGGAAAGCAGCTTCGTCTCCCAGGAGGAGGAGGAGGAGGAGGACATAGTTTTGTACACATTACGCACGCAAACCGAAAAGTGCATCTCTCTCTTTACCAACAACAAGTTGAAGGGAGCCGAGCCATGTGGGCACGGGTATCCTTGTGCCATCCCCAACCCACCGCCTCCCCTGTTTTGCCCAGGACGAAGCTCTGAAAGGGTTAATCGGCGGCGTCTCTCTCGCCTTGTAAATCTGGAAAAGGGAGCGGGGGGAGAGAGGCGGCGGCGGCGACAGCACACAGACAAGGAATTACGAAGTCGCGAACCGGGCTGGTGGGGGAACCTACTGCTACATCCATCCTCTCGCTCCTTCCTGCGCTCTGTGGGCACCATTTACTTTCTCTTGCTGCTGCAGGTGCTTTTGGGGAGGGGAAAAAAAACTTTGATCCGAGCCTAGCTAAGCCCCCTCCCTGCACGCCCCCAAAGCAGGAAATCGTGCAACACACACACCGACCCCGCGTCACTTACCGTAGACCCCTTGTCCCCTGGTGTACACCGGGACCAGAGAGAGGAATAAAACCCAAATAGTCTCCATCTTCAAGGCAGAAGCTTCATAGCCTGCGAAGAAGAACAGCCCAAGCACCACCTCCAAAAAAAGCCCAGACAGCATCAGGCGGTGGATTCGAGAGAGGCAGGCGAGGAGGCTTTTCCTGAGCCGGCTCTGCTATTTTGCGCTTTTGTAGATATATAGATATACTGTATATTAAAAATGCCCACCACTTCCTGGGGCTCGAAGCAGGAAGAGATGGATCCAGCGAAAGGAAGGGAGCCTTGGCCGGGCACAGGGCGCCTCAGCCCGGCTTAGCCAAGTCAACTCCAGCCAGTGCTGCTCGGGAAGCTCGCGATCTCCTCCCCACACGCACACACAACAGAGCGAGGGAGCGAGTCAATTTGAACGAAGAGAAATATCCGCCCTCCCCAAACGGGGAGCAGTAATTGCAAGTGTAAAAGGTGCGAGGAAGGGAGGAGAGGAAAAGCCAGCGAGGGATCTGGTTTCTCCCCCCCTCTCCTCCCCCCTCTCCTCGCTCCCCGTCTTGCCTTTCGCCGGATCCCGGAGTCCTCCCAGAAGAAAACAGAACTTCACGCCCAGACGTGGAACGGCGACGAAATAACAAGGCGATTCAAAACCAGAAGGCACAAGACGAAGCGATCCAGTGGCGACGCAAAATCCACAGAGAACTTCCGCGGGTTTCCCCCCCTTTCTGGCTGTGCTCCGATTCCTTTCAAGCAGAGGGAGTCGTATTTGTTGGGGGGGGGCGGAGGGAGAGAGACGTCAACTGCTTTCTGAACTCCCCAGCTTCCCAAACTCAATCGCCTGCCAACTGGGGCCAACTTGAGAGATGCAACGACGACGGAGAGCGAGGGAGACACACGGAGTCCTCGCCCTCCCTCCTACTAATGAGCCTCTGGCTGCAACCCCAGGAGCGAACAAGGGGGCGCGAGGAGGGAGGGGAGGCGGGTGCGCGCGTGTGTGAGAGATGGGGAGGGAGGTGCGGAGAAGAAAACCGAGAGGCAGCTGCTGGGGCAATAGGTAATCCTCCTCTTCTTGCCTCCAGCTGTTTTCTCTCCCTTCCCCCCCGATTTTGGAATTAATTAAATGCAGGGATGACTTTAGCTGCGTGTGGTGGTTTTGTGTGTGCTGTTTTCCCCCCTCCAAAGAAGCATCTCTCGTTCCCAGCTCCTTCAAAGCTGCCGAGCTCCGCTGTCTCCAGGCTGAAGTTGCTCAGTTGCAGTGCATCGCATGCCGGCCTGATAGTGGAGGAGGAGGAACGAGGGCCAGACACAACACTCGCTCCGACTGTCGCGCTTTCCCTCCCCTCCTTCGACCTCTCGGCCCCCTTGCTCTCGTTTTTGCCCGAATCAGCGGGTCAGATTTATCCAAAGTTTTAGCGCGTTGGACTGACGTTTTGGCAGCTGGAAAGTTCCCTCCCTCTTCCCTCTCCTTTTGCAATTTATAAAATCTTTTTTCCTAATGTGTTGTTTTCTCTTTGTTCTCTACAGATGGGAGGCAGAAACGTTCCATCTTGGATATAACTTCTGAAAGAGGGAAGGGGAGTGAATAGCGCAAGAGGACTGAGAAACTTGCAGAAAGCGGCTTTTCACTGCAAAGGACGGTCTGTAATAGGGGCGTGGCAAGCCTTGGCTCCTCCCCCTTCCTAGAAGAACGTGTATATATACATAGCAAGCGCACAACTACAATACTGCACCCCCAGTTCTGTTCCGCTTATAGAAGGCGGCTCTGCGCGGTGTAACTCAATACCTGCTTCGCCGTGATCTGCTCTAGAAGGCAGTTCAGCCTTCCAGAAACTTACGGGTCGCTCGGCCGGGAGAACTCGCTCTCTTCTCGTACTAGCAGTCACCTTTCCCCCAGATCGCCAAGATGACTCGGGAGGAAAGTCCGATCTCCTGAGCCTTTTGCTCAGCTCGAGCGCGAAGCAGGCGCCCTCTTCTAATCGCAGTCCCTACCCTGAAGTAAGCCTGCAATGCTCCAGGATCTGCCCGTTAACCCGGCTGCCTCCCTCCGTCTACCCTCCCCACCCCTCCACTTTTGCTCGTTCTCCCATCTTCACGAGTCTCTTCTAGTTTTGAAAAAGAAAGGGAGCCAATTAAATCAACTCTGCTCCAGCGGAGTCCTGCCTCCTACCCGATTCTCCCGGCCTCCCCAGGGCCAATTAGAGAAAACAAAACAAGGCTGACAGAAAACGGATCTATCTGGTTATATTTCCCCCCCCCACCTCCCCGCTTTTTCATTCCTTTCCCCTTCTGCAAGGAAATGCCAGGAATCGGCCGAGGTTTCAGCCGTCCACGCTAAAACCCACAACGCGGTCGGGTGCACCGCTTCGGCGCCCGGCCTCGTTCTCTGGAAGAGCGTCGCGGGCGGAGAGCCAGGCCGGAGGAACAGACCGCGGCGGCGGCGACTGTGGGTGTCTGGGCTCCCCAGCCACCGCGATCTATAGGTTTGTCTTGTAGGGGGTGTCGCGAGGGGCACGCGGATCCCGCCGGGGAGGAAGGATCCACACGGTGCGCTCTGCACATTCCTCTTGGGCTTGCTTGCTTGCACCTGTTGTGTGGCTGCTCATTGCGCGCTGCGAGAGCGCGGAGGCCCGCCGCGCTTGCAAGCCCATCAGCGATGCAAGGGGCGTCTGTAACCCGCTTGCGCTGCTGCTGCTGTACTGATGCACGTTCGTCCACTCCGCTTTGTACGTGTCTGTGTGTCTGCGCGTTACGCCGCTCTAGCGCTCCTGCGAGGCTTTTGCGCCCGGGAGACGCCTGGCCCGTGATTCCTGCATGTACCCTCGGCTTGCGTGCTGGAGAATCCCAAGCAGCGGTGCCGGTGTGTCTGCTTTTTTCTCTTTTTTTTATTTCCCCACCCCCACTCCACTTTGCTGCAAATCTTTCTCCACAGGCGAAGATCCGAGGCGACCATTTCGCCGTTCGAGGCCGTCGGGGGAGGACTTCTCTCAGTAGGCAATTCTGGCAATGGAGCAAGTCCTTCCAAAAGGCTCTGTAGCCAGAGTCACCCGCCTTCCTCGCAGGTGGGCGTCTGGGCAGGATTATGCAAGATGTCGTGTCCCGGGTGAACAGAGCAGAGCAAAACTCCTGGAACGCCGTCTGGCTGGTCCCTTCCTTCAGACTCTCTAGGTTTGGTTTCCATTTTTCAGGATTTTATTTTGCAACTTTCCTGCTTCCAGCGATTCCCCCTTCTCCTGTTCATTAGGTCAAGAGGATTCTCCTCCCCACAATCCTATTTTAATCTTTTTATAAATGAACGTTTTATATTCCACATCCGAGATGAGGGAAGTGTTAAATCAAAATTTCCTCAAGGAACAAACCCTTAATTTTCAAATTACACCAAGATCCCATTTTAAATGATCCCATTTTAGAATGATGGGGTGAAGATGTGCAGACAGTGTAAGCGAGGCTGTTAAAATATTAATCAAGAAGTGCCTACTTGCTTTACAGAAACTGATGATGCAGAAATAGTTCCGTTAAGTTTTACTCTCTACCCAGCCCAAATACATTTCCTGAAATAATTGAACTCCCATCAGCCAGTCCCTGTCTTAAAATAGCGCTGTAAAGCATTATTTTCTCCCATCACAATAAACGGATTTGAGCTACCTGCAAGTAATGGGGAATATATATTTCAGCATGAGACCTTGTGATGGTGAGGAAATGGGGCTGTTATTGCAAACGTTTATTCTTTCTACTGAACTCCTAGCAGTGAGGAAATAGATATTTTTGATCATTGTGCAACTGAGTATCTGGAGGTGTGTTATAGATACACTGATTATTTCCCACTTTTTCTGTAACAAGCAGCATCAGTCCACCTGGGTTTGTTGTTCTTGTTTTTTGCACAAATAAATAAGTCACAAGACATCTGGGGTTGAGAAGGAGGGAGCGTGTGCTTCTTGATTCCCCCGCCCCCACATGTTTGTCTCTGTTTCATTTTTACCTATCTAATGCAATCTCATCTGTAGTGAGATCTGTTGGTTGGGGATCCAAATAAGGGGCCCCTGCAGACTTGTCATTGATGTAATAGTAATAGTGCATTCATGGTGGATTTATATTGAACCATCCACACATCATCCCACTTTATTGTTGTTCTGCAGTGCTAATGTTAACACTTAATTGCCGTCTGTAGGAGCACTCTTACTCCGTAGAGCAGAACAAAAAACAACCAGGAAATTTGTGGTATGGAAAGCTACAGGATTTTAGCAGATTTCTGCACCTCTTGCAGACAAAGCTGCATGACCGCCCAAAAACATTTGCTGTCAAAAATAGCACAGAAAGTCATGGCCCTGTGTAACTGCCCTGGTAACCTCATGAGCACAACTCATGATGAACGTGCGATGAAAAGGATGTCTGGAGGGCCCAGCCTCTTGTTTGTCTTCAGTTTCACTTTTGCCAAGAATCCCAACTTCCACAGCTGAATTCCTAATAATCTTTTCTCATTCCACAAGGAAGAAGTGCAGCTGCCAGGACATGTGAACACAAGCAAGCTGGTTGGAACCAACAGTAGCTGAACTGTTTTCCAAAGCGGCAAGCCCTGCGGGTCACATGCAGCAGTTATTGGGCACCATTGAAAGTGATCAAATTTCCAGGTGCCCAGTGCGTTTTTCGATTTTCTGCCTCAGGCATCAAAAGCTTTTGAGCATGCCTGCAGGATACTGCATCTCTACACTCTAAGCACTCTGCGGGACGCGGGTAGTGCTGTGGGTTAAACCACAGAGCCTAGGACTTGCTGATCAGAAGGTCAGTGGTTCGAATCTCCGCGATGGGGTGAGCTCCCGTTGCTCGGTCCCTGCTCCTGCCAACCTAGCAGTTCGAAAGCACGTCAAAGTGCAAGTAGATAAATAAGCACCGCTTTGGCGGGAAGGTAAACAGCACTTCCGTGTGCTGCTCTGGTTCGCCAGAAGCGGCTTAGTCATGCTGGCCACATGACCCGGAAGCTGTCTCCGGACAAACGCCGGCTTCCTTGGCAAATAAAGCGAAATGAGCGCCACAACCCCAGAGTTGGCCACGACTGGACCTAATGGTCAGGGGTCCCCTTTACCTTACACTCTAAGCACTTGAGTGTCAGCAAAACATTGGCTTTCAGTGAGGCCCAACAGATTTATTTCACCAAAGACTATTTCTGATTTAATGTAAGAGACTCGAGACACACTTTTTACTCATTTGTATGGCAGTTTGAATTTAGTTCTTGATTTCATTTATAGCTGTCTTCTGTGGAACTCAAGCCATGAGGTTCCTAAGACTATGTAGTCCCAAATGCATCCACAGACCAGACTCAGAGCTGCTTAGCAAACACACAGAGCCAGATGTCTCATTAGGCAGACTCCATCAGATGGTGGAGGTGGCAAGACATCAGAAAATGGAGCTGAATGTGCCATGTGGTCTGCCCTCCACCCCCTCACCCAGTTTGCTGCTCTCTTCTGGTCATCTACTGCATGTGGAATGAGGAGGCAAAGGGTGGCACAGTTTATTTGTATGCTGCCGTTCCTTAGTCAAACTATACTCAAGGCAGCATACAAGATCAAAATATTTTATGTATTTCCAGAAATATAACAGAAGTTAAGTAATCAGAAGAAATACATGGAAACTTATCAGTTAAGTATATGATAAAATTAAACAATCCACACATAATTCATAGTAAGATCTATCAGTAAAAATGCAAAGATAACACAACTAAGGGGGGGAAGCATCTTCGAAAAGTAAATCTTGACCCCAACAAGAAACACCTAAGCAATACTCTACCCCAGGAGTCTATAGTCATCTTGAGAAGCAGGACTTACAGGAAAGCAGCTGGAGTCAGACAGGGCCCTGCCCTTCCAAATCTGGTGGAAATAGGCCAGAAGAGCCGGTCTTGTAGGACTTGCAGCAAAGAGAGGAGCAGGACTCAGAGCAAATGTGGTCTCTGGGCCAGATCTAGGCAGCAAAGTATCTGCATCATGTAATGCCAGAACATGCACAATTCAATTTTTTTACAGCCTTTGACTTACCCATTTACAAGGACACAATATTACTGTGCCCTCAACCACTTGGTTACTTACTGGCTGTCCAAGCTCAGCACACTGCTCATTGGACCATACCACATTAGGTTGCCTTATCAGTTACAGAAATTGGAAATAACAACTTGGCATCAGTCATGTTCAAAAGTGCTACTGGGTACCCCTCACTGACTAATTCGTCTATGGTCTCTACGCAGAGCAGCAGCACCTATACCAGTGATGACCAAAATTGGCCCTCCAGATGTTTTGGGACTACAATTCCCATCATCCCTAGCTAACAGGACCAGTGGTCAGGGATGATTGGAATTGTAGTCCCAAAACATCACTGACCTATACTATACAGATATATATATATAAGCTTTGCAATATACCTGTGGCAAAGGTAGCTGTCTCAACAATCACACCCATTAATACATCACTGTGCACAATGGACCATCTGCTACGAGGTGTCGCCACCATCACTCTGCTTCGTCTCGCTGGAATCAGAAAGCATGCTGCAACAGAGATGTGATACCCTGGGGGGCGGGGGGATGTATTTGTAAAAGGTAGGCTGGCAGGTATTGATTTACTCTATGAACGAGAATTATTCCCAGGGTTATGGAGCGTTATAGCCCAAGCCAAAGGCTGGTTACTAATTCATGCTCTAACAAATAAGCAGTTAACAGGTATAGCTGCTAATTAGTAAGCAGTTATTTCTATTATAAATGGCATTCAGTTGTGGAAAGGAGCAGTTAGCTTGCATCAGCAACGGGCGAGCAAGAGTTGACTGAATAGCTCTCACAAAATGACCAATTTCCCTTCAATGGAGGAGGTGGAGCACATAGGGGTTGTAGCTGAGACTGCTTTCTTTCTTCAAGCTGACAGAAGGCTTAAATGATTTGCAAAAGCCCACATCTTAAATATTTTAATGCACTACACTTACAGGTACTGCTTGATAAAGGGTGGTTTTTTTTGTGTGTGTGTGTTTTGCACAGGAGGGGGTGGATTTAAATTCTAATGTACTTCTAAAATCCCTTTTTGCCTTTGCAGTCTGCAATATGCAAACCAACTCCTGTGGTTGTTTCCAAGGTTTGTTGTTGGATTACCAGTCATGACTTCTGTGAAGAAAACAAACCATGAATGCTGGTTCATGCAGCACAGTAAACCAAGGCTTGTGACTTGTTGCGCCTGGTTCCAGAAAGAAGAGGAACAGAATAGAATAGGAGAAATTTAGTGATACAAGAATGGGTCCGTTGTGTTTGCCTAAAACAGCAAAATAATAGCATGTTTGATAATAGTGATAGGCATTCCACATTGTAACTAGAAGGTTTTGAAAGGACATGCGCATTCCACATTGTAACTAGAAGGTTTTGAAAGGACATGCGCAAAGACCACTGGTCCTGTTAGGGATGATGGGAGTTGTAGTCCCAAAACTTCTGGAGGGCCGAGTTTGCCTATGCCTGGTTTACATTCTTTTAAACTGCTTTTTAATTGTGTGGTGTTTTTTTAAAAAAAGATAAAATTGTTTTTGATGGTTTTTATGTGTTTGTGGTTTTTTGGGGTGGCGGCGGCATTTGACTGTTTCTATTTTGATTCCCATATTTACTTGAATCTAATGCTCACCTTTTTTGGCCAAATGACGTTGCAAAAATTAAGGTGCACATTAGATTCGATGGCACATTTACATTTGCCATTATGTTTTTAGTTTCAAGGTTCTGAAAATTGAGGTGTGCATTAGATTTGATGGTGCATCAGACTCAAGCAAATACGGTTTGTATTTTGTCTTGTGAATACCAGAACACGGACTCATCCCATGAAACTTAAAAGTGGGAGATTCAGGACACAAAACAGAAAGGACTTCTTCATACAGCACATAGTTATAACTATGAAATTCACTTCTGCAATATATGGCAATGGTCACCAGTTTGGATGGTTTTTAAAGGGAATTTATTTCCTGCCCTTCACCTTAAAAACAACTTACAATAAAAAAATAAGCTGGTTTTAAAACACATACACCTTGAGTATTTTAAAAGTCAGGGTAAAATGGAGGGTCTTCAGCATTCTCTGGTAGCTGTATAATGAAGGTGCCAGCGGCACAGCCCACAGCTTAGGGCCCTCCACAGATAATGCCCTTTGCCAGGCTGCTGCCCCATAGCCTCGGAGGACAGAAGGATGGATAACAGGATCAGGGGCACTGAATGCCACAGTGGTGGTGGTGGGGAGCTGTTAGCCTCGTGCCCTGTTTGTGAGTTCCCCATGAGTGTCTGGTTGGCCTCAGAGAGAGACAAGATGCTGAATTAAAAAGGCTCTTATGTTTAGAACAGCTATATGGTGGTGCTGTGGGTAAAAGCCTCAGCACCTAGGGCTTACCGATCGAAAGGTCGGCGGTTCGAATCCCCGCGGCGGGGTGCGCTCCCGCCGTTCGGTCCCATCGCCTGCCAACCTAGCAGTTCGAAAGCACCCCCGGGTGCAAGTAGATAAATAGGGACCGCTTACTAGCGGGAAGGTAAATGGCGTTTCCGTGTGCGGCTCTGGCTCGCCAGAGCAGCGATGTCACGCTGGCCACGTGACCCGGAAGTGTCTCCGGACAGCGCTGGCCCCCGGCCTCTAGAGTGAGATGGGCGCACAACCCCAGAGTCTGTCAAGACTGGGCCGTTCGGGCAGGGGTACCTTTACCTTTATATGCTAAGCAGAAAAGGACAGAAGGAAGGAATGGAAAGTGAAACAACATGTCCACAAAACTTACTGAAGTGGGGAAGTGGCACAAAGCATTAGAATCCCCCTTTCTATCCAAAAACAGGCACTCAGTGTTTGACTGTTTTCTAAGGAGCAGGGTGGCAGGTATTAATTTACTATATGCAATGTGATAACCAATAACATGGGAATTAATTTTCATGATG